TCAAAAATTTTGCTCATCAAAATAATTCATGAAAATCAAATAATTCATGAAAAGCAAAGTGTGCAGGACTGATTTAAACTGATCATTATAAATGACTAAAGTGCAGTAAAATGCAAACATCCTGGAGGTCATAATGATGTGGAAAAGCAACTTCGTTGTCTTGGATCTGTTGTGTTTTATTTAGATATCAAAACATATTCTTTGCAAATTACATTAAGTAAAATAAAGAAACATATACATTGTTGTTGAACCTGAGAGGATATCCTCCCAGAGTACATTGCAGCATTTAGTAAGTAATGTTGAGAACAGCAAGATGTCTTCAAAAGAAATCAGTCCACATTTTGTTCCTCTTTTAGCTTTTTTAAAGCAGCAGCAGCTTCTTCTCTAGCTTTATAACCATGTAGTTCAGTGCGAAGCTCTCCAGGCTTTGGTGGAACTTCTGGTATACTCTGAGATAGAAAATAAAAAAATAAGCAAACTTGCTATATATTGTAGAATAAAGTCACTTTGAAAAACTATTATTAAAGAACTATTTTGTCAAAAAAATTAGAAATGTCTGTAAACATTTTACGAGAACATCACATTGCTTCAAATTTACAAAAACAGCCTCAAAGGTAAAGGATGGATTCATTGGCTCCTACCAGATCAGGGAGATAGTATTGGTGGACGACCTGTGCTCCTGCAAACATGGCCAGAACACTGGCTCCCAAAAAACGGCTGTACCGAGCCCACGACACACCAGCTGGCATCTTTACAATATGATGCGATCTTACTCAGCCTGTGGGCAAGATGAAAGCACAAATAGACTGTTAGGATAATTATCATTGATGATGTGTGAGTTTATTACACCTTGGTATTGGCTGCCTGTTGCGTGTCAGAACTCATGTTTTAATCTAATTAGGACGGTTCCTCTGTCTGGATATTCAGTTATAGTCACCATTCTGTACATGGCAAAGATTTGGAAATGGAATGAGAGCGGAGTCCTTCAGCCAAGAACAAAGTGGAATATTTTGATAAGGCTGGAGCTGTGGATGAATCCTCATCTGCTAACATGCATGATGTAAAATAAGACGATGTGGCAGACTGGAGATGCATAAAATGCCTTTTTAACTGTTAATCGGGGCCACTTCCTGATAGGTGAGCCTAGAGGTGAGCAGCTGCCTTCTGTAACTCTAAGCAATTTATCTGATCTGAGTAAGATTACAATTTCTATCAGAATCTGTTGTCATGTCTCCTGGTTATTTAATACATTCATATAAGTTATGAAGTATTATTTTACGAGTTTGTCCTGAGGGATCTCTTTTAAGGGAAAAGAACCAGAGAGAGAAAGCTCCCAGGTGCAGACACAGAGCTTATCTTTATATATCTTGTTTAGATTTCTGTGTATAACACCATGGATTACATTAGGCTGAACAATAAGCACCTGGCAATGGACCTGTCTGTGTTGCACCCTACCATGGCTTCCACTGACTGCTTTAGAAAAGCACCAGGGTAAATGTAGGGGATTTTGGCAGTCTGTTT